CCCCCCCTGAAAAGCGTGCGGACTGTGATGGTGCCTGGTACCCATCAGTCGACCACATCAACAACTCACACAGCTACGCGTGGGTATGTAAGAGCTTGAAACCATCAAGGTCAAGGAAGCATTGCACCGCACCTTGTTATTTCGACGAGCACCGCCGAACACATGTACCCCTCTCGTGCTCAGATGGCAGTAGGTTTTTCTAAGCAAGCAAAAAAAGGACAGAATAGAATCGGCTACGTTGGGGTTGGGGTTAGCGATAGGGTCTGAGTGCCCCCTGCCTATAAAAAAACTTACGGAGTTCTTTACTTTGCTTAGGCAGTCCACAGATGGGTGTGAATCTACCCATCCCCATCGCGCTCCATTCTAAGGGCTAACAAGTTACACGAGGAGCTCAAGAAAACAAGACCCTCTCTCACCGGTTGGCGTACTTCTCCTCCTCGGGCGTCCACTTCCCCCTCCTCAGCCCGGGGGGCTTCTGCTTCTTGTGCCCCCCTCTACCGCCAAGCATTGCTCCCAGCATGGTGCCCGACGACCCCGCCCCCGCCCCCCCACCGTTCCGAACGCTGCCGGCCGGCTGCTGATGGGCCAAGGCCTGTTGGGCTTCTCGTTTGGTGCGGGCGCCGCCCAAGCCCACGCTCCCGCCACTTCGAGTCCCCGCTCGCCCCCCGCCGCCGATAATGTTGTGACCGGTCCCGCCGTGCCCCGCCGGGGAGCCGGCGGCGCTGCTGCCGCTGCTGCCGCCGCCGTTCGACGGAGGTGTTTCCACCGCGGTGAGGAGGCCGTCCGCGCAAGCTGCGGCGTGTGCAGCAGCCTTCCGGGGGAGGGAAGGAGGGGGGGGGGGGGGGGGGGNGGGGGGGGGGGGGGGGGGGGGGGGGGGGGGGGGGGGGGGGGGGGGGGGGGGTACTCATAGCCGTGCATGCCGTAGTCGTTGGACCATTGACGAGAGGACTGAACATTGTTACCACAAGTACCGATGGTCAATCGTCTCTTTGCCAAAAAGGGGACGATGAGGGATACATCGCCACGGGCTGAGGGTCTTTCAGCGGGGGGCTCGATCTTGATGTGAGCGGCGCAATCAGATCGGGCGTGTATTGCTGTGGGGTTTTGTTGCCAAAGTGTCAACCTTTTCAAGGTATGTATCTTTGCCGATGGGAGAAAAAGAGGAGGGTACACCGCCAATGGTCTGACGAAGCACAACGAGCGAGAGTTGGAACGCCAGGGCACGAAGCAGCACAAAGCTGCCCCCCGCTGGCCCTAGAAACGGTGGAGACGCGGGTTGTCGCGGGGAAGAGAGTCGGGGAGTGCTCAGCCCTGAATGCTACATAGTACAGAGTTACAAGTTCACCAATATTTAAAAAAGTCTTGGAATACTTGGGGAAAAAAACAAAAACCTAAACACACACAAAATCAGATACTAGACTAAACATATCCGTCCGAGACAACCATGTCTGTCAATAGAAGGGATGCATGTGTCGGAGTTTTCAGCAAACACTGCTGGATAGGAGGATGGGAAACATGAGTCCACGAAGGCTCACCCACTCTCCGGTGGACCAACTATCCGCTGAGGGATCAGTGATGCAAGGTATTCACAGGAGCAGTTGCCCCTGCTCCATTCTTAGAACATTCTCATTTTTACCAAGTGTTTTGAGTGGTAAACTTGATCGACTTCGTAAGTCGCGAGGGAAGGGATTGCTGTACCCTTATCGCGATAAAAATATCTCAGGCAGGAACCGAAGGAGGGGGTCCACCCCCCCCCCTCCTACGTGACCCCGGTTGGGTCGTCTAGCTGGTAGAAGTGGAGGATAGGGGTCAGAGGGGCAGACGACGGAGTCCAATGATGGGAGAAATATATACCATGGTATATAAACATATATTCATCTAAATACAAGGGCAATTTAGACCCAGGAGGAAGAATACAGCGGGTGCGTGCGAAGTGGTAGGTTGCAGTAGGGCACAAGCCTGCAGCAATTCCTTCTAAACAGCAGTGGCGCCCGCATCCAGCCGATAGTGTATGCATTGAGCCGATGCTCGTCTCGCCGCTCTTCGCCGAAGGTTCTCCGCCTGCTAGTAGTATAGTCTACTACGAGTACGTGAGATGGCAGGAATTCAGTGATGAACCCACAAGCACGCCAGGTCCTGCATTGCTACAAGCGCAGATACTTGGATACAGTATGTCCGGGATCGAGACAGCAAGATATCCTCACGCACCTGCGGAGCCGGCCATTGAATGCTTGGGACACAAGTGGTCCCGCAACTGGCCGCTGTAGGCAGGCGTTGAGTCAAGGACATCAAGAAGGAAGCGCCGATGTACGCAAACTATAATAACACACATATTTCCGCCGATGCAACCATGGTATTTACATATTTACAGCAGTAGTGCGCAGCACATGCTTACAACTCGGGATGTGCAGGTGGTTTTACTTCATGTTACTAGTATGTGTGCTACAGTACCTCTGCAGGATCATGGAACGTTCTCAAGAGAAACCGCTACAAAAATATAAGCATGCATTATAGTACAGCAGATGAAACATGCGCCGTGAAAGAGAGTGTTCGTGCGAACTTGGCTGTGGCCATTGGCTCCCACAACACCGCCCGCCCCCTGTCACAAAAACATGACGTGCTGCTTTGGTCTTTGAGTGAGACTTTCCGCGAAGACAGACACGTGTAAATAATCCGACTACGAAGCGCTGTCCCTCATAGCAAAGCGCTCGCTACAAACATCAACAGCAACTTAGAGAACACGAGGGGGCAAACAAGTCATGCCAACGCCGACGTCACGCACATGCGACAGCTTCGGCTGCAATGGGGTACATACACTGAGAGTTTTAGAGGAGGCGGAGAAACCTCCCACGCATGTCCCATACAAGCAACAAGCCAGTTTTGGTTATTGGTTGTTGTTGTTGTTGTTGTCTTCACATTAAACCGTATGCCAATTGCTAAATGCAAAAATCTAGCAAAGACTCTCAGCCCGTGGTCACGAAAGTGCTAGAGCCATCTGAGGATCTAAAGAACACGCACACATATAACGAGAAATGGTAGCACGGGCAGATTACATACGCCATATGGGCACACCCAGTTTCAAAAAAAAAAGTGAGGAATCGTTGTAATCTGGGCTGTTTGTTANGGTAGCACGGGCAGATTACATACGCCATATGGGCACACCCAGTTTCAAAAAAAAAAGTGAGGAATCGTTGTAATCTGGGCTGTTTGTTACTGATGCAGATGCTGGGTTGTCGAGGTTGTGCGTGGTGTTATGAGTCGGATGCGAGAGAAAAGCACCTTGAAATGCATGGATCGCCGACAACTTCCCGACGTCCCGACAGTTCTCAAGCACCATATCCACCCTCTGTAGCCCGGCCTTTCCAAACCCTCTCCTTCCTAACGCCAGGTTTGTCTTTCCGTCTCTTTGAGCAAAAAAAGAGAGACAGACCACCTCGACGACACACATTTTTTTTTTTTCGACACGACAACCAAACGTTCAAAAAACAACTGAGACACACACAGATTGTCGTTGCGAGTCAAACCACTCTGACCTGGAGACTCTGCAGCGACGCCGAGTTGCGCGTCAATCGTGGCGTCACCATCGCTGATCTGATGCCTCCGCCACGAGATCCATCCTGCATTTTTCGACTCCGTCGATCAAACGAACGCCTCCCGCCTGCCGCGCGGGCGGCCGTTCCAGACCAAATTTTTCCGCACCAAATGAGCCGAGAAAAAACACCAGCAGCGTTTTTCCAAACTCCACGAGAGAAACTGCGCCACCCTATTGATCCTCGGTGCGGCGGCGTGCTCTCCCTGCTTACGCTGCACCGTCAGGAGAGAGATCAACCTCTAAGGGGCTGGGGGGACCAATGCGATAGCTCTCCTACAATCGCAAGAGAGGGCAAACCCCGGCTCTCTGGCTGTGTGTGTGTGTGTCTATGGGGTATGACTAGGTATTATTACTGCTGTCATACCCCATAGGTGTGTGTCTCGGCATGTCAACCACGGGGCCCCGCTCTCCCTGCCCCTCCTTGCCACAGCAGTTACCGAGCTCCCGATTTTTCTGTAGGCCTGCGCCTCTCCTTGCCTGCTTTGTGCCAGTTCGCACACAATTGCACCACCTTATCGCGCTCTCGACCCCTTCGGTTTCGTCTCCATCTCCTTCGACGGTGTAGGCTATACATACAATGCTCACAATTCATCTCATCAGCACACCACAGCAGCTGTGACAAGGTCCATGTCGACAATCATCGAGCACCTTTGCGACGTTTGTTACAGCGTCAATCAAACATCTCGTTCATCACATCCGACTCCCATGTGTCGCTCTTGGTACTGGGAAAGAGACCACAATACACACCAACGACCTGCACCAAGAAAACTGCTGTACTTGTATGCAACCGTTAACGTTCGCTCGGTCCGCCAACTCGCTTTCGAAAGTTTTGGGAAAATTATTGTCCGAGTGGATCGTTGGTCACATCTTGGTCACATGGCAAATAAAGGCTATAATAGGAAGAGAGCGGCACGGCACGGACGGCAGGAAAACGGCAAAACGGCGGAGGTGTGATGAACCGAACGAACCGTGAATGAAGCCGTCCATCTGCATACTGTGCAAATATGCATACGATTGCCGAAAAAACTAAGTCGTCAAGAAATACAGTTGTTGCGGCTACGCCCGTCGGCATTTAGAAACTGGAAACGCCAATAGCGGGGCGTCGCAAATCTGCAGCGTAGTGGCCGGAGCTGTGTTGTTATGCTTTCGCGGACCACCGGTAGACAAACGTACGACTTCCTTGTTCGGATGTTGTGTGTTGTTGTGGCAGTTGCATCTCGTGTTTTCCAATGCCATGAATCCATCCGATGAGGATGGGGGCGGAGGGGGGGGGGATGGGCTACATCGCTCCAAGATAACTAACAGGATTCGACCAACAACCAACACATACAAGTCGCGAGGGAAGGGATTGCTGTACCCTTCTCCCGATAAAAATATCTCAGGCAGGAACCGCAGGAGGGGGTCCAACCCCCCCCTCCTATGTGACCCCGGTTGGGTCGTCTAGCTGGTAGGAGTGGAGGAAAGGGGCCAAAAGGGCAGACGCCAGAATCCAATGATGTGAGAAAAACAAACAAAAACAAAAAACATCATCTTTACTACTGTGTGACACTTCTTTCCTTTCCTGTGTACTCGGCTGCGTGCCATCAACATCTCCTACACACACGTATCATAACGCGGTGCACGGGCGCATTCGCCCGTTTTCACACGATTCTGCAAGCCACCGCCGACGTGCCAGCCGATCACGACGACGAGGCGGCGGAAATAACATTCGATCGAACCGCGTTGCTGCCAATGCGAGGTAGCATGAGAAGCAGCTGCGGCAGCCGTGTTGCCGATCCTGCTGCTTCATGGCAAAGCGAGTGCTTCACGAACGTCGAGAAGAAACGAAAAAATCCATCCCACTGAATACTTGGCAGCCGCACCCCAAAAAAGGGTGTTCAGAGGGGTGCCGGAAATGGACGAGCCAATACAAGTAGAACTTGTGAAGGGATGCATATGGACGAGCTCCCCGCGGAAACCGTCGCGAGACATTTCACTTATTCTGTTCTTCGCGGGAAATGTTTCCTTCTTCGCAAAACGCAAAAAGGACAAGCGTAACCTGCCGCCTCCTACTGACCCTCACAGCAATTCACCCAGACGTTTCATACCCACCTTTCGCACCACCGGTGGCTGCTGATATCATCCAGCGAACGAGGCATAGCAGCAGCAGCAGCAGCAGCAGGCAAACAATGTAAACCAGCCAATCACTATTCTTGCCACCCTTAGAAACTTCAACCGCCACCCCGAGGCTGCTTCGTCAGCCCCGTCCTCGAACGCAATTCGAACAAAGCAAACACGCACGTGTATCCAAGGATAGCTGTCCACCCCATCCAACCGTATAACCGCAGGAGACTAAGCCCCCATGCGGATGCACCCTTTGGGATAATGCTGTGCGTGGCAAACCGACTCTAGCGACTCTATGTCCACCCACGCCCCGCTCCCTCCCCCCGCGAGGCCAGCTATTCAGCAGATTGCGACGCCCAAAAGAACAGGCTGAATCTCTCCAACCGAGCCCTCGAACGTAGTCCTCTCCCTGTCGCGATATCATCGTGTATCCCGAGCCTCCTCCTCCGCGTCCACCAGTAGACCAATCACGGAGCAGGCGGCAGGGCCGAGAAGGCTGAGGTGCGAAGCAAGAACGGCACGGAGCGGCGACCACGCTTGCTGGTCCCCCGCGCTGCGTTCGGTCAGCGACATTCGAGACAAATCAAGAGCGATGCCGCCGCCGAGCTCATCTGGCCCGCTAGCCGTCGTGCTAACGGCCTCGCCGTTGCGGTGTGTTTCTCTCTCTGCTCCCGTTCCCCACCAGGAGGACAAAGGTCCCGTCTCAAGCGGCGGAGACTGGGACACAGCACTCGACGGTCGCCGAGTCGCGATTCCGTCGGACAGTTCACCGTCGTCGCTGGCCGAAAAGAGAGTCCGTGGGGGGGAGTCACTAGCTGGCTCGCCAGCCCCGGGCTGGAGAGCATTGAAACACGCCGCCGACGTGTGGAAACCTTTGCCCCCAGCCTGCTTCTTCTGGAGCTCCTTCCACTCCTTCCTCGGTACTGTCTGCTTCGTCCGTGCTACGGGGACAACCTTGGGCGGCAGTATGCCGAACTGGGGTCGGCGGGGGGAACGGCGAAAGTCGAACGTGGTCACGTGTGCGCGCGGTGGAACAGGGAACAAATGTGGATGTTTGTGGAGTGAACCAAGGCGGAGAAAGCAGGGCAAAGCGTGGCGAGAAACATGCGGAATACGCTCAGGTCCACGGGCCTTATCGAAGCTCCATTTTCGTTCAGCGAGCTGCTGGACAGGCCGTGCACGGAGAGTAGGCAGGCACGATGCAAGACGGGATGACGTAAGCCCGGGTGAGGGCCCCACTGTTGTACATGTAGGCCCGGAGCGGAACGCCACCAAGCTATTGCTCGCCGGAGCAATTCGATATCGGACGCGAGACAGTACATCACTGAGGTGTCGCTGTTCGCCTCAATAGGAAGGCTGCAACAATGCCAGGAAACTTCACAGCAATTCTCTCATTTACCGTAAACCAGGTTGCAGGATAAAAAAGGAGAAGTACTGCAAAACGACATTTTCACGCGAAGGAAACAACCACCTACCTACCAACAAAGATGCAACCGCTGCTACACCTCACCTGCCCCAGAAGCCACGCCACCCTATCGCTCGGCTGAGCACCGACCGAGATCCAGTAGCGTATCCTGTCCACCTTGAACGTGACCTCCTTCACACCGCTGCGGGTAGCGAGCGGGTTGTAGGTGCCTACCTGTGCTCAGGGTCGTCGGAGTCCGCCGGAGCAGATGTTGTTCCCAGAGCGCGGGCGCACGCGGGAAGCAAAACGTGTTTCTTCGGTTAGCATCGACCGCGCCAATCCGGCTGACCAATGAAGACGAGTCAGGCTCGCAGCGGATTAGCAACGCGAACACGTTCCATCACCGGGCACCACGGTTGGCGGACGCATGTATACTCAAAATTCAAAATTCAACACCCAGAGTAACTCTTAACATCTCCCGTACAGCAGTGCGCCTTAACGAATCGACTAAGCGCCGAGGTGTAAAGAGTGGATCGGATCCCAGCAAGGACAGTAAGAAGGCCGGGTTGTGCAGCAGCGACAACGCCCTCCAAAGTGCTAAAATATTTCGCCATGTTCAACAGGTGCAGTTGCCGCAAGCACCTGAATGGCACCAAGGAGTTGCAAAACATTATCATACCATGGTACAACAGCAGTAGTAGTATTTTACAAATAGGCTGCTCCACCTACTGCTGCTGTGCTACTGTGTTATGCTGTATGCATATGTACACGTCACCAATGTCGGAACCTTTTCGCTTGGTCGGCGGTGGCGTGTTTCTCCTGTTTCTTTTAGAAAATACCACCATTCCTTTGGTGCCGTTGACCGCGGTGCAACTACTACGGTGGGCTGCGACCCGCAACCGACGAGGGTCGGAGAGATATACATGAAATGCTTTTTGCATGGGGATGAGCATGTATGGGATGAGCGTCCAGAAAATCGTGCATGTGCAGTGGAATTTGGCGCTGCCCACACAGATGGCTTTTAAGTCGCTTCTTGGTCGCATGATCCTGGTCATGTATCACATGATCCGATGACCTTGCACAAGGGCAAGCAAACGGCAAGCAAACGTAAAAGCGTACGAAAAGGCTGGGGCACACAGGTAGTTGTAGGATGCCCAAGTTGCCACACGCCCCCGCACCGATTTTCAATGCCCGATTACTCCACGACCAAGAGAACGTCGGAGGCAAACCATGCGTTTCGATAAGCCTCTCGACGAGGCGGTTCTAACGCCACCCTAATCGGCACCGTCACTGCCTTCGCTTCTCAAGCTTTGGAAATCGGTCCAGGGGGTGATATCTTATGCAACCTACGGCACCTTTTGTCCGTCGAGCGAGCGAGCGCGTGAACTACTGTTGTGTGTGCGCAGTAAGGGTCGGGAAGCGCATCTGCAGCATGGGGCAATGCGCCTAGTGCACTGCTGTTGCAAAGGGACAAGAACTCAAACTACACGCTACCAAAGAGAGAGGCTAGCAACCACGGCTCGACTCAAACTCGCAACATGTCTCGACCGCAAACACGACCATACGCTGCAGATTGGAGTTGGGACCTCCGCCATTAGCCTTACCAGCTCAATGAATTTCCCATCCCTGGGAGCCCTTGAGTCCGCAACCACGACTCGATAGAAGGGCCTGTTACGGCGACCGAGCCTCTGCAGCCGTACGCGCACCGTCATGGCTTTGTTATCTGCCTTCTCAGCTGCAGCCTCGCTCGCCTACACCCACCACAGCCCGCAGCACAGCAGGCAGCATCGACACACATTCACGATGCCGCCATATCCCCACGTAATTTGTCCCAGTTGGAGCCCCCCCGCAGGCAATCAATTACCTGCACCCCGGCCGGGGCCCCCTACTGCGCATCCTACGTACGTCCCAGGAAGCCACTGCGCATCGT